ATGAATCAAATCTTGCAAAAACTGTATTGGCTTTCATGGTTGTATGTTTTTATGGAGGACCAAAATTTTTAGTTAAAATGTTACCAGTAAATAATTTAGATGCAGATTTTTTATATGATCAAACTATTATCTTAATCAACCAAATTACGAAGGCAAATGGAAAAGTTATTGCTTTAATTAATGATAATAATAGAGTAAATCAAGCATTTTTCAAACGATTTGATTGCATATTTCAATGGTTAACAACTGATGGCATTTTTTTACTCTTTGATTTTGTGCATTTAATAAAGTGTATACGAAACAATTGGATAATTGAAAAGTCTGGTGAAATTGAGTTTAGTTATAGAGGAAAAAAATATAATGCTAAATGGGATCACATCAAAAAGCTTCAAAAGTTAGAAGAAGGTGAATTGGTTAAAATGTCTAAGTTGACTTATGTTGCTGTTAACCCAAGGCCAATTGAGAGACAAAAAGTTGATACATGTTTAAAAGTTTTTTGTGAAGAGACTATAAATGCATTAAAGTGTCATCAAGGTATGAAAGATGATGATATTGATGGAACTATTATTTTTTTAACTAAGGTGGTTCAATTTTGGAAAATAGTCAACGTTAAAAGTCCATCCGAAGAAATCCATTTGAAAGACAACTTACGAGCTCCCATATCATATGTTGATGATTTACGATTAAATGATTTAATTGAGTTTTCTGAAATGTTAAAGCCAACATTGATTCAAGGAAAAAGAATTAGAAGTATAACCATGGATACAAGCAATGCATTATATCAAACTTGTAATGGTTTAGTTGAAATAAGTAAGCATTTGTTAGACAATTCTCAAATGTATGTACTGCTTGGGAATTTTACAACAGACCCCATAGAAAGAGCATTTGGAAAACTCAGACAAGGTAGTGGGGGAACTTATTTTATAAATACTCAACAAGTTTATAAATACTCAACAACATTTTAAATACTCAACAATTGAAAAGTGGAATATCAACAAAACCAAACTATTTCTTCAGAAAACTATCAACATTTCAAGTGCTGAGTTTACATCTGGTCATATTTGTGATAATTGTTTTTATAAACTTTCAGAAGATGAGTGTGAGATGTTTAATCATTTACATGAACTTTTAAACCAACTTTCATCGAATATTAAGTCATCTTTAGTTTACATTGCAGGTTATATTTCTAGAAAAGACAATGAAGATGATAACGATGACACTTATCTGTATTATAGTAATTATGGAAATTTTACATCTGCCTTAGATCGTGGTGGTCTGAAAATACCCAGTGATACATTTTGTGAATGGGTATTCTTAAGTTACATTTTGTTTAATTTTGTTGGCACATCAAACTTTTGTAGATATTCTATGTCCTGCTTATTCATGGATATTGCATGTATTTATGGTTTCACCATAATTACAAGAAACCATTGTTATATTCTTACAAATATATTATTTAACAATTTTTGCTATATGCATTCACCTGCATCAGACAAGGAAACCAAAGTTTAAGCTTTAAAACTGTTTTGTTAGCTTTTGTGAATAAATATACCATAAAAAGTTTCCAATTTAACTTTAGATGATATTTCGTTTAAAAATTGTTAATTTATATTTTTACTTTTTAATTCTTTCTGTTAATGTTTCATTGTATGCAAATACATAGAAGTAGCTTGGTTATCTTTTGTTATTGTTATTTTTGAACTTACAAGGTGTTTTTTTTTTTTTACTTTCTTGACAAAATAACAATTATTTTTGTTTTATAAACGTTTTTGTAATAAAAATATCGACTTCTTTATAAAATGATAAAATATTATTTAGTAAAAAATGGCATGGTTTAAGCCTTACATTCTTCTTATCCTTAGTTTTTTATTTAATCAGGTTATGCATTTAGAGAAAAAGACTAAAATAATCAAATCACAAGCTCCTACTATATTGTTAAAAGAATTTTTAAATATTTAAAACTTAAAAAAAAAATTGTTTAATAGTTGAGAGCATCAAAACCAAATCAGCCTCCACATTTTTCAAGCCGTTGCGCGATGAGAAGGCCTGTTATTTAAGTACGCCTTGGTTTAGATCATATCCCATTCGGAACGATTATTTTTTACTTGCGTATTTTGTCGAACAACATTTAAAAAAATTTGCGGAGCAATATTAATAACAACACAACACACGTGCCATATATTATTGTCTGTTACTTAAAATTGCTTTATTACGTGGTCTTTATTTTGTTAACTTTATTGATTTTACAGTGGGTTATTGTATTAATTCATGGATGTAATAGTTCTTAAAGGTTAGTGTTTCTTTCATATACATAATTCTTAACAATATAATAACAATAGTTATATATATATATATATATATACATATATTTATATAATTTTTAAATTAATAACAATTAAAAAAAAAATTTTTTTAACAACATCTTTTATTAACATTAATTGATATCATCAGGTAAAAAAATTACAATTTCTATATATAAATAATTTATTTGGCTGCATTAAAAATTTAATATTTTTACAATTGTTACCATAATTACTTTTTATAAAATAAGTAATTACCATGAAGAAACTCTGACAATAATAGAAAAAGAGTCAGTTGAGTTTTTGCATTTTTGCGTTGAAGTAAGATGTTTGTAAATATAGGATGCCTGATCTAAATTTAAATGTTCTGAAACCGTTGTTGTGTAGTGTCTGGTGTTTTCACCAATATATCCAGCATTACAGCTGGAGCAAACAAATTTATAGACAACAAAGGTTTTTAAATTTGGGGGGTTAGGGGTCTTTGATGAAATCATACTACTTATTTTAAAAGTTGTAAAAACTAGTCTTGCTTTTATATTATCTTTACAATATTTTAAATGTATTTAATTAATTGATGTTAAAATGTATTTGAAAATTTTCCAATATAAGGGAGTTTAAAGTAATGTATATCAGATGGTTTTGGAGATGACATGTTTTCTTTAGGAGAGATAAGATTGTTTAGTCAATTTTTGAAGGTTTTGTCAATTAAGTTGAAGGCAAAAGAATTTTTTTGGAGAGTTTATTTAATTTTTACAATTTCTAGATGAAAACTTGCTG